AATAATTGGAAAACGTGATTACGAGTTTAGAAATTTGTTAGTAAGCTGTCAGCTCGTAGCTGTATCATCAAATCATAATGAATGAATTATTTAGCACTGAATAGAAGTTTACTTATTAATATACTGAGTTAAGTATTATAATTCTTTTACGATGAAATTAAATTTCTCCCGGACCGAATTATCTTGCTGTTATTTAAACCAACTCTAGTAATTTTTAAAAAGTTCAATTAAATATTCAAATCAAAACTTTTAAGTATATGTTGGCAGCTCGTGGCTCTATCATCAAATCATTGAATAAAGAATTAGCTAAATAGATGAATAATAGAAACTTGTGTGTAAGCTGACGGCTCATAGCTGTATCATCAAATCATAATGAATGAATTATTTAGCACTAAATGAAAGTTTACTTGTTAAAATACTGAATTATGTATTATAATTCTTACGCTATTAAATTAAATTTCCCAAAACTTAAATATCTCACTGTTATTTAAACCAACATCAAGTGATTTTCGAAAAGCTCAATTAAAGCTTCAAATTCAACCTTTTAATTATATGTTGGCAGCTCGTGGATGTATCATCAAATCATTGAATAAAGAATTAGCTAAATAGATTAATAAATAATACTAAAAAAATTATTCTTTGTAAAAGATATTGTTAAAAGAAATTAATTAGTTAAAAATATTAACTAGGTACCTATTAAAAAATCATGGAAATGATAATTCATAATCTTGTGAACAAAATATCATAAACATCAAAATATCATGAACTATCATGAATATCAAGTCAGGCAGTACTCGTAGTGAATAGATTTCTGTTTTTTTAATTAATTAATTACATAATTCAACCATTGCTTATTGATTAATATTTAATTTAAAAATACTTATTATTTAAAAATTTTAATATTATTAACAAACTGGCAAAATTGTAACCTTATACGAAACTCATAGGGTTGCATAATACTTAAATCTTGTAAACGAAGTATTAAGAGTTAAATTTATTAATAACTCATTTAACTAGATATAATTATTCACAAGCACATAGACGTATTATGTAGTAAATAAATACTATTTTTAAATTTTTAAATATCATTCTTTGATGCAGTTTATCATCTCTGGAAGTAAAATATATGACGAACTGCCTGTATAGTTTAATAATTTAATACTTATTTTATAATAATTAATTATTACAATTAATAATATAATTAATTATTATAATTAATTTAATAATAATTATAATATAATTATGCAATGTAATTATGCAGTGTATAATTATGCATTGCATATGTATGCAATGAACTAAATAGTTTTAAAAAAGATTAAAATATTCATTTTTGTACATTGAGAGAAAAAAAAAATTTTGTAATATATTATTTTGGCAATTATAAAAAACCAAATGACTTATTTTCTGAAAAATATTACTTGCCTAATCTTCAAATTAATGTAATGATTGCTTCAAATAGTGCATGCGTAACTTCTTTAATCTTAATGTAGGTTTGACAGGAAAAATAAAGTTCTAACAAACAAAAATTAACGAAATCGGAAGAAAATGTTAGGAAAGAGCTGCAATCTAGATAAATGACGAGACATCAGTTTATTACGATTAAATGCGGATTGTTTGTTGATAAAGAACTTTATATTTTAGACTTATAAAATCAACTTATAAAGAAAAAAAATTCCAAAGAGCTTTGAATCTTGCAGCGACCCAGATGTATTGATTGGAGACAGCTTTGCTGCCACTGTTTTTTTCCTCCTCGTTTTTTCAATCCATTTTATCTCGGGTTGATTCTACACAACCTAATACTATTATTTATTTGAATTTGATTTTTTAAGATTTAATTTGTGCAGATTATAAATAAAAGCCTTTTGAAATACAGTTACTTGAAAAAAATTTTGAAAAATGCACAGAGTGTTGATAACTGTAAAAAAAAATTGGTGTAAAGTATGTTGCCACCGTTTTTGTTGTTGAGGTAAATTATTATTTTTTACGTGCTTATAGTCCCATTTTTTATTTACTTTTTCACTGTTATACTTCTTTTTTATTTATATATTCATTTTTTGTATGTTTGTTTATTTACAACTTATATATCCGTGTATATTACATTCAATAATTGATTCACTGCAAAAATATGCATAATAGATACACTGCAAAAAAATTTGGTTTGAAAAACAAGCACATTGCATTGTTGGTAATTTATTTGCTCAAATTCTTTAAAACTATTGTTACTTTGTCAATTTAATATTTTTGTTTGCACGATAACTACAGTTTGATGTTAAAAGTGTGTTTGTAACTAAAATATATTACAAATACACTACAAGTACATTCTCAAAGATAAAGCTATGGCGAATACAGTTTTAAGTACCGAATTGCGAAAAATTGTTTGAAAGAAGTAGGACGAATATATTGCTAAAAATGTTAAAGTTTTTTAAACAAAATGTTTTTGTAACTAAGCCGTTTAATTGATTCAAATGCACATGAAAATGTGTATTGTAAGTTTTAAAAAAATGAATAAAAAGAGAATAAATAAATAAATAAAACTGTAACAGTGAAAAAGTAAATAAAAAATGTGGCTCTGTAAATTTTTTTAGTTTACCTCAGCGCCAAAAATGATGGCTACTATACACCAAAATTTTTTCCTGTGTAGAAAATATAGAAGATCATGAGCGAGAATTAACTTCATAATATATAAATTTAAATTTATTTTGAATTTTGGTGTGAATTCATTTTCAGTATTTAACTGGCATTTGTGTCAAAAAGAGCAATTTACAGTATTCATAGTTTTTTGTATTTACATTTTAATATCATTTATTCCCTTAACCTTTCTTAAAATTCAGACCTCTTTAAATAAACAAAGATTTTTAAAACAATTAATAAAAAGAGGATTTTGTTTATAGGCCGTGATATTATTACTGATAATACGAATATAAAATATTTTTTAAATCCTCAAGTTACAGAAGATTTTAAATTTTCATTTACTAATATATTTTTAGATACCTCAAAATATTGTTTTCAAATTTAGAATATTTTAATTTAGAAAAAAAAATTAGAAAAATTATCATTAAAATTAATCATATTGTTATCAAATTATCATACTGTTATCAAATTTAGAAAACAAAATAAAAATGAAGTACAATTTAAAACGCCATAACACCTAATGCAAGTATAATGAAAATATTTTTAAGACCCATTACTCGGAAAAAAATGGCAAAATGACCGTATTGTGTGGTAAGGAAATTACTGGTAAAAAAAAAACTCCGTCATTCTAGTAACAAAACTAAATTATAAGGTGCTTAATTTATGTCATAGAAAATATTTTTTATAACATGCTCTTTAAGCATAGTTTGCACTCATTATTGGTAATTTTATATTTCACAGTCGTAGTTTACAGCACCATAAAATTATTTATATAGGAGTATTATTTATGTAGGAGTTGTATAATATAACTCCTCATATCCGACTCCAATTACATTTTTTAAAATAATTATAAAATTTGAACTCTGTTTACTAATAATAATTTTAACAATGAGAAATATTTCTGACACCATGTCGAACTTTTTTTTTAATTTTTTAAGAATTATTAAAGTATTTATTTTTCAAAATGCAGTTTCATCATACCGAATCGATCTTTGAAACAAGATAAAAAAACGGAAATACCATCTACAACGGCATAAAACAAATGTAAATCATATTATTAAATTAAAGCATTTATTAAACTCCGCGTATTAATAAATTTTAAAACTCTTTTTCTGAAATGTTTCTTTTAAATATAATTGTGTGTAGTCATGGAATTGAAATACATTATTTTAAACATGGTAAAAGCTAAACTTCACTTTACAGCATCTTAGGATTAATAATCATACAAAACTCATATAAAATATCTATACAACCTCTTTATGTCTGGTTGCATTTACATTTTCGAGAATTAGTACTTTTTTAGATAGTTTATTCCCGAAATATGTTTTTTAAATCCAGAATATTATGTAACTCGGTGAATCTTTAAAAAAAGATCTTTCGTTTAGAACGGCATAATACCAATAGTCCTCCGTAGAGTTTTTCATCTTATTTTAACCCACTTCCTAAATAATATAAACAAGTACAGTAATAATATAAACAAGTAAACATCTTAGTGTTAATAATCATAAAAAAATCTGATAAAATATCTATACAACCCCTTATATCAGGCTGCATTTGCATTTTCGAGAATTAGTACTCTTTTAGATAGTTTTTATTCCCGAAATATTTTTTCTTTAAATCCAGAATATTATATAACTCGATGAATTTTTTTAAAAAAAAAGATATTTGTTTAGAACGGTATAATACCAATCATCCTCCGTAGAGTGTTTCTCCCTATTTTTACCTACTTCCTTAATAATATAAGCAAGTACAGCATCTTAGTATTAATAATCATAAAAAAACGCATATAAAATATCAATACAACCCCCTTATGTCCGACTGCATTTACATTTTCGAGAATTAGTACTTTAGATAGTTTATTCCCGAAATATTTTTTTAAAATCCAGAATATTATATAACTCGATGAATCTTAAAAAAAAGATATTTCGTTTAGAACGGTATAACACCAATCATCCTCCGTAGAGTGTTTCATCCCATTTTAACCTACTTCCTAAATAATATAAACAAGTTAACAGACAACAGCCATTCAATGTTTATTTTTAAATAAAAGAAGTTTATTTAAAAGTTTCTCCTGATCAATTTACGTTTCTCCCGAATTTCTTTTAAGAAGATAACCCGACTCCCTTTTTTACTCTTCTTTTCTTTTTAAAGAAGAGAGTAATTTTTCTCTTTATTTGTAACGTATTAGTTTCCTTTTTACTTGTCTGTATTGTTTTAAGCGTCCCCGAAGGTTGAGTGGCAATATAATCTTTAGAGCTTAACATTGAACTCTTCTGTCACAAAGTGTAATAGAAAAGTTTTCGAAAATTTACTAAATGTTCTTTTTTTTTCTTTTCTTTTTCTCTTTCATGTACTTCTTCTTCGAGCAGAAAAATGTTTGTCGGGGGCTTGAGCTGGCAAACAGCACCTGGTAAGTACCTTTTAATTGCTAATTGTTTTGAATTGCACTAAATATATGCATTTTATTTGGACTTATGCTAATTATTTTTGAAAAGAAATTAACACTAGTTAAGTTTAAAATAATAATAAATAAAAAAATTACTTATAAATATTTTTATTTTGAAACCTTGTTTATTTTTATAAGTGCTTTCATGAAAGTGAATGTTACTATTGATAGCTTTTTTCCTCATAGAATTAACACTAGGGAACAATTTTTTTTGTTGTTGCATTTATACAAATAATTGCCTAATTCGAGGGCGGGGATTTTAAATGAATTAGTTTTGCACTTAAAACTGCAAACTTTTTTAAATAAGGAACTTATAGTAAGGAACATCAAGGCACTTATAAAAATAATTAAATTTATTTTTATAAGTGCCTTCATGAAAGTGAATGTTACTATTGTTAGCTTTTTCCCTCATAGAAATAACACTAGTGAACAATTTTTTTTGTTGCATTTATACAAATAATTGCCTAATTCGAGAGCGGGGATTTAAAATCAATTAGTTTTGCACTTAAAACTACAGACTTTTTTAAATGACATTTTTAGTCTGTTTTTTGTCGAAATATATAAGTTTAAAAACAAGTTTATATAACAGGGTAACGGAGTTACATAAAACATATACGTTACGTATATATATCTATAACAGGTTAAATATTAAAGGTTTTTATGTTACATACAAATAACAGGGTTTTGCGTTAATGTTACTAATATTTTTTAGGGAAGTTAGGGCACATCATCCGAACTAAAATTGCATAGGAGCCCTTACTAAGATTGATTGACTGAATGTAGGGTTTAATGGAACAAAGTCCAAATAAGGACATTAAAGAAGGAAGTACTAGAGAGTCCCTACTAGGAGGTGTCATAGTAAGCGGCTAGCAACTCTTCCTATTATGTCCTATTCAGAAGCACACTAAGAAACAGTTCATTATAGGGAAGCTCTCCCTGCTGCGTATGACGACATTTCCGGTCGTAGGGTTCATATGCAATTTTAAATCACGAAGATATGCCCTGATCATCATTAGAAGTTTGTAAGAACCTGTATTAGAACCTCTGTTGTTTATAACTGATTTAAACTTGTACATTTCAATCAAAAAATATCATTTTAAAAAAAATTGTAGCTTGGAGAGCGAGAAAGCGATTGTATATTTGAAATAAGCGAAACAAAAGTATTCAAGATCTGTTAAAAATTCTTATGTACACAAAAAAATTTTTCCCTAGTAATTGCAAGTTAGATCATTATGACCATAAACAATTATTAATAGAACTGCTAAGTACCTGTTATTTAGAAACAAAATAATGCTAGAAATTTTTTTTCTGTTTTGTTTTAAATGTTTTCTGGTTCTGTCCCCTGCCACTAGGTGGCACATACGGTTAATTGTAAAGTTATCTGATTATAGAATTTCAAACCTATAACTGGATGACTTGAGCATTATGAAACATACGTAGCTGTAAACAACATTTCAAACTAACCAAATTTATTAGAAATAAGGTTTAAACACTATATTAATTTAAATTTCTTCATCAAAGAAATTAACAAGGCACAGCTAAATAAGTTGCATTTATATTGAAGGTACCGTTAATTATTTTTTTCTACATAACTTAAGCAAAATGAACTCCATAAAATAGCCAAAATGATAGTTGTTTGGAAAAGAGTGAAAGAATCCTATAATCAACTGAACGCATAAGCTCACTTACATACATTTATTACTGTGAAATAAATGTAAGCGATTATTTATTATTGTGAAATTTTCATCACATTACATTATTTCTCAGCGCATCGCGCACCGCGGTTCATATACTATGCTAAAACTTTTATATATTTTTTACGAAAACCAATTCAATACTTTGGTACAATAAATCTTAAAAAGATAAACTATAAAAAAAATGCTATTTTTTTATTCTTTGAATATTTTGTAGTGTTGTCCCCCTTAAATTAAATAATAATAGTTTTTTTCTGCGTGTTACTATATTTGCATAAAATAATTTTTTGCGCAATAATTTTATATTTCTTTGAAAACTTCTAGAAATATGGCGAAAAAATGCGCCAAAAAAGAAATTGACGTTAACTTGCCCAATCTTTCTACCGTTTCCCCAACTATATGGACATATTTTTCAGATTGCGACATTCCCTAATCCAAATCCTATCGTAAAGTTGATATGTTCAATTATAAGTGCGTTTTCTTAATTTATTTCGTACTTTAAAATATTGTCGACACATATTAATTAGCATAATTACGGTTATCCTCTTGAACTAACAAGATTGTGTCTTAATACGTGAAAATTTGATTATTAGATTAACAGTTATCAATTTTTTTTAAAATATTTATTTCATTGTGTCTAAACAAATTTCTCTATAGATTTCAATGAATAGAAATGATATTAATAATCATAAACAAGCATCTCAGAAACAACGCGGTAAAAATTTTTATTTTGATGAAATTTTCCCTCACCTATTATATCGTTATTATTATTATTACCCACCCCACTCTTTCCAAAAAAACTGGAGTGGAAAAATCTGTCCGCGAACGTAAAAAGAATTGCTGGATTGATTCCAAAATTCAGGTATTGCTCTCTTTTTTTTTCCCCTCCGCGCTTGACGTATCTACGTCACACAAAGTATTCTGAAAAGACCAAAGGCGAATGTGTAAGATGCATTTTTTAAAAGCCCTCTTATGATCACATGAGATTTTCATTCAGCATCTTTGGCACCGTCTTTCTTTTGGCGAGAAAGAAAAAAAAACACGCACCAAAAAGAGTTATTTTTTGTTAGAATCGTAAAATAAGAAGAATCGTTTCAGTTGCAATCGTTGTAAAGATATACGACTCAGTTTATCAAGTGTATCAAATGTTTTATTTTACAAAATTTAATTGTTTTATAAAAACTCCGAAATATTTTCTTTTTCTGCAGGCTTATTGTTTTTAGTTCATTTAATATTGATTTTCTACTAATAAACCATTAATTAAATAAAAATTTTGGAATTTGTTAGTTAAAAATTATTTGAAACTTAAGATATTTGTGTAACTATTTTAAATATTTTTTTATTTACCTTACATAATTATAAACATAAAATATTTGCCATTTTAAAAGTGTAATGTTTTCATGTAATACGGGAGAATAGCAATTATCACACGATTTTAAAGAAGTTCTTTTTAGGCATTTATATGCATTCTCATTTCAACTTTAACTGTGTTTTTATGATGAGACTTCAATATGAGATAGGCTATTCGTTAGTAAATTACATGAGATGATATGATATTTGCTAAACATTAAGAATTACAAACAAAAATTGAACTGATCTTATTTGATTTTTAAAAAAAAGTGGTTGACTACAAATTACGGATTATCTTTGCTAATTTCATGTTATTCTTATTTTATTGTTCATTCGAAACTAATGTGTTTTAAATTAATTTAGTAAGGTACATTCGAATTTGGAATTAAGAATTTTTTATCTGACTAGTAATGTTTTATTTTTCAGAGGGACTGAGAGAATATTTTAGTAAATTTGGTGAGATCACCGAAGTCATGGTCATGAAAGATCCCACAACTAGAAGATCACGGTGAGTTTTCTCATTATGATCTTTTTTTCCATTCGTAACCACGTGATCATAAGAGTTATCTGTAAGTTGCATGCTACAGATTGCACAATACAAAACCACATTGCAAATACTTCAAGGTATAGGTTCAAATAAAAGTTTCGGTTTGCTTATTCCTTTCTTTAAACAGGTTCTCTTGTTTTAGGAGATGTTATATTCATTAAACAAAATGAATAGTTAAAAAATTGACGACCCAATCAAATCGTGATCTGAGATTAACGTATCATTTTTATATTATAACCAGTAACTATTTAAATTATTTTATTCAAATCTGAGAAGGAAACTGGTTAATTATTTACTTTGTAATATTCAACCATTTCAAAACATAAAATATATATGATCGTTTACTTTTTTTTACTGTTTTTCTTTTTTGTTTTAATTTCAACTATTTTGAAAATCAAGAGGGAAGAACGGTTTATGTATATTTTTCTCAAAAAAGGACTAATGGATTGCTATCTTTATATATCTATCTATATATATATATATATATATATAATATGCTGACATCATATTGCAATT